TCCCCGTCCCGTCCCCATCCAGCCCCCCTCGCCCCGGTTGCCTCTCGCTTCGCCCCACCTCCGTCCGCTCCCTCATCCCCCTCGGCTCCCGCCTCTTGCCCGTCCCTCTGCAACCCGGGGGAAATCGTCCTCTTCCTTAAACCTAGCCCGGCTCCCCCAGTTCACCTGCACGCCATCCCAGCCCTCCACCGACCAAGCCAGCCCTCTCTGCCTTGTCCCCTTTTGGACCGGGAGAGGCCGGGGGGAGGGGAGAGTCCCTGCTTGGAGGGAAGCGGGGACAAACGGATCCCAGTCGTGAACGTTAAAGAGCAAAACAGAGCCGCCCCCTTCACAAATACAGTTTCCACCTCCTAAAGAAGACGATGCAAAGCAGAGCCCTGTCATGTGCATCGCAGCTCCTCGTGCGGGGAAGGGAAGCGTTTGGAGCTTGTCCACCTTTTTCATACTTTTTCTTAACGAGCTAGATGAGGAAAATCTATCCCGCTTCTGTTTCTCTCTTTTTGTTTTTCCAGAAAAGGGAGAGAGAGAGAGGCTCATATTGAAGCCAACCAGCTGCGCTTCTGAGTGGGAAACTCTGGACTGATCTCATGGCTTGCTTTTTATTTCATTAATACTTCATTATCTCTGAAAATGAACCATTTGTGAAGCTCTTCTCCTAACTCTCCTTATTCCTCTTTCACGAGGTGGCTGCTGTGCAAAGGAAGAAATGGCATGAAGTAAATGACTCCAGTATAAAGCAATCTGCTTTGCCAAAGTGCCCAGTGAGCAGCACTGTCACTTTAATAATTCCAGGTCAAGGGATTGCTTTCCTCGTCTTCAATCCTCTCTTTTAATACATGGGAGGATCAGAGGGACGTTAAAGACCGTAAGGCTGGGTGGCTTGCAGATAATAAAAATGAAAGTGACTGGCCAGTGACTTCTGTTGGGTTAGAGGGTGATGAGTGAAGGCTGTTGTCCGGTGAGGAAAAAGGGACCTTTTCAGTCTGCTGTGTAGTCACCTAACACATAGCTAGCAAAATTCATTCAAGAAGTGAAAGAACTTAAAGAGTCACTTTGGATTGTTTTTGTCTTCCTCCTTATTTGGACTATTTGGGCGTTTTTGTCCTGCAAATAATATGTTTTTGAGCACGTACAGGTGGAGTATTAAGACAGCTGCCTAGAGATGGACTGTGCCTTAATTGTATTACATAAAATCTTTTAATTTTCAAACTTTGCTGCCAGAAGAGGAGTTATAATAAGGTTTTATATTGCCAAGGAGCATTTTCTCTTGTATTTTTATAGATTCAAATATATTTTAAAGAAATTGAAAACATCTCTTAAAAAAAAAATCCCAAAGCTGCTTTTTTTCCCTTTTTTTTCTTATTTGTGGGAAGCATCGGAAGTCCAGTACAAGAAAGCAGCAAGTATTGATAGAAATGAAGATTGAAGCTGCATTTCCTAACTGAACTGTAAAAGTGTTTTGCAATAGATAGCCAGTTCCTGACCTCGCAAAGTGTTCCAGTAGTGCATCGTTAATACCTGTAAATAAGTGCTTGCAACCAGATTCAGAAGTAGGAAGAAGAATGCCAGTCAAGAAGAAAGGTGGGCTATGAAGCTTCATATCTCATATTGTGTCTTCATTTTGTTAGATTGTTGATTTCTAGTACTGACAATTTCAAATTAAAAGTGTTTTGATGGGGGATTGAAATTGTTTTTCTTTTGCGCTGAAAATGGGAGAAAAATCTGTGCACTTGCAATAATAATTTTTAAAAGTATCTTTATGCTGTATTTTAAGACTTGTCTTGTCAAATTTGGCCTCAAATAGTTATTTTGTAAAGATCAGCCATCAGAGATCTTGAACAGACACCAAGAGAAAAGCTTGGCATTTAATTTTGTGAGAAGCCTCTCTTACAAATGCGAATGAATTTTAAAATCATAGGTTTAGTCTATTATCTATTCTTTACATGTACGGTGGATAAACATCAGCCATCAGTAGCAGCATAAATAAATAACAAAGTTTCAAGGCTAATTTTAAATAAAAGTTACGAGAGTTGTGTTTTGAAGGCAATTTGAACGTGTTTTTTTTAAATGTGATTTTAACTAACTTTGATTTCCATGCTTTAATACAGTACAAAAGTACTATCTTTGTGACTGTAGTGTGGCAGCATTTAAGAAAAGATGACCAGCCTTACGTTTTGCCCCTTCTCTCCTAAAGTTTGTGATTACAGCAAGTATAGAAGCAGCTTTGGAAAACGTGGTTTCCGGTGTTCAAACAAGAATTGGGAAATATGTGAGGGCAAATTCTTACTCTGGAAACACTTGTAGACCTTAGGTTATTTCTGGTTCCTTGCAAATACGACACCGATTTAAAATTTCAGAATATTCTGATAGAATAAATGGCATGTGCACCTTTTCTATTCAGCTCATCCATCCAGGTGTCCCTGGATCTGATATATCCCTGGATCTGACAATACCAAAACGTGGGGGAAGGAGCAAAAAGTGAATGTTACACAACAGAAATGGGGTTATAGTCAATGTGACTATGGATTCTTTTCCTTGTAGGAATAACCCTTCAGTATTAGTTATGAGTTAACATTTACTATGTAAATAATGATAAAAACACGCAGATTGCTAGAATTATTTTCATACAAAAAACAATAAATGGGATTTTGTGATTATTTTAACAGATGACAGTGTAGAAATGAATTTTCAAAACTGAAATATTTTAGCAAATCATATTGTCATTCATGTAATTACTTACAATTATATGTTGTAAAGATGGGAACGTGTATGAAGGAGCAAAAAGTGAATGTTACACAACAGAAATGGGGTTATAGTCAATGTGACTATGGATTCTTTTCCTTGTAGGAATAACCCTTCAGTATTAGTTATGAGTTAACATTTACTATGTAAATAATGATAAAAACACGCAGATTGCTAGAATTATTTTCATACAAAAAACAATAAATGGGATTTTGTGATTATTTTAACAGATGACAGTGTAGAAATCAAAACTCAAAACTGAAATATTTTAGCAAATCATATTGTCATTCATGTAATTACTTAATGTTGTAAATAATGATAAAAACACGCAGATTGCTAGAATTATTTTCATACAAAAAACAATAAAGATTTTGTGATTATTTTAACAGATGACAGTGTAGAAATGAATTTTCAAAACTGAATATTTTAGTATGAGTTAACATTTACTATGTAAATAATGATAAAAACACGCAGATTGCTAGAATTATTTTCATACAAAAAACAATAAATGGGATTTTGTGATTATTTTAACAGATGACAGTGTAGAAATGAATTTTCAAAACTGAAATATTTTAGCAAATCATATTGTCATTCATGTAATTACTTACAATTATATGTTGTAAAGATGGGAACGTGTATGGAGGAGTACCGTCCCTTAATAATTCATCCTGCTGTGCTGTAAACGTGTCACCCTGATGTACTGATGAGGCTTGCGTACTCTACCTGTTTACAGAAGGAAAATTAAGACTGCCTTTTCATATTTTAAGTCTTAATCCTGAATTAGGTCGTTTACACTAAGGATATTTCTGTGCCGGATGTTTAGCTGTAATTCAGTTTCAAAATACTTGCTGCAGGATTTTTTGGGTGAACTCTTATGGGCTCCTTTGTGCAGGAAGTTAGATTGGCAATCATAGCGGTCTCTTCTGGCCTTAAAAATCTGTGGATTTCCTGTTTGTTTCAAGACAGTCTGGGTCAGTTTTAATGTACATCAAGGCTTTAATTTCTTCTTCTCTCTTATGAGGATATGTATTTTGACAATTTAAAAATATGAACTCAAGAGACCCAAATATCCTCCTTGAAATACTTTAAACTGTCACATCAGTCAGTGTACTGAAGTTGGCCAGTGTGAATGCATTTGAGTATTAAAAGGATATTGTTAAAAATGTATTTCAACATGTAAATTGCAGGATTAAAAATGTTAGCGAATCAGCAACTTTATTATTATTTTGAATGACTTAATTTGTCTAGTTCATGCAATAGACTTTAACTTTCTAAATGTAATTAAAAGCATGCTGGCAACTTGAAACACGCTACCATTTAAAAAAAAAATCTGCTATTGTTACAGGTAATCCCTATTACTCCTATGAATATTAGGGAGATTGAGGGGATTTTTCTCTGTTTTTTTTTTTTCCCCCATTTAGTTGCTTTATGCTTTTGACAGCACTTTGTGTCTAACTAGTTTCATATTTCTGTTGATGATTTATTTTCCCTTTCTGGTCTTACGTATGTGGGAGTTCATGTCTACTGCCTTGCCCGCCCATGCCATCTGTAGAAATCTCGGTGGGGTACTCTCGTCTAGGCTGTGCAAAAGTATGTATTTCAGTAGCAGCATTAAGGACAGGATTATCCCTCTCCCTTTCAGCACTTCTTTATGTGTTGCTATTTCGGATTTGATCAAAATAGTCTCCTAAAATCAATCTCGAGACAGAGAAACCTGTAAAAACAAGTTTTAAAATATCCTGATATTTATCACTGGAAGTTGTTACCATACACTGCTTACTTTGGCATTGACCGGTTCTGGGTCTTTCTAAAGAACAGTGAATGCCTTTTGAGAATTTGCCTTTGAAAGAGCTCTCACATCCAGTACTGGTCTTCAAATTTCACATAGCTTTGGACCTAATTTACACTTTACCTTACTGCTTGATGTCTGCCATCTTGCTTTTAAAAGTCTAGGCCCTTTTAGTCAGGAAAAAAATAGTTTACTTAATAGTAAAAAACATATAACTTAGAGGAAGCATTGATTTCTTATGGATGTGGAAAAAAAGGCTTGCTCCTGGTTCTGGTCATGTTTGTGTCAGTATGTGATTGCCCTTGCCTGATGTGCTGGAGTGAAAGGATTTTGTTTTCTCACTTCATTCTGGAGGGAAATAAGGCTCCACATTCCCGAGAATATTCACAGAGTTGGCATGCTTGCTGTCAGTCTCAGCAAAAAAAAAAAAGAGCAAGGCTGGAAGGGGAGAACGGAGTACCCTGCAGGGGTTGAACGTGCTCCCTTTAGATAAGGGGCGAGACATTGTATGGATTATTGCACTAGTGCTGCGTGATTCAACTAATGGCCATTCTCTTTGGCTTTTTTTTGCTCATCTTTCGCTTAAGTACACTTAAAATTTTAAATCAAAAGAGACATTTGATTTTAGTTACAAACTTATTTGTTGGACAGTGCCATTTAAGGACGATAGGGGATGAACAAATTTGAGAAATAAATTAATTATTTTTGCTTATTTTTTACTTTACTTTCACAAACAAAATAGGATATGTTTGAATACAACTATTCATAACAAATTGATGGAACTTCTTGGGGAAAGCTTCGCTTCAAAGTAAAATAATACTGCCATACAGAAGAAGTGAAGTCAGTTTACTAAGTGAAGTCAGTTTTTTGTGTGTTTTTAGATGTCTTCTCTCCCTCCCTCCCTGAGTTACTTAGCTGAGTTGATTTCTGTTAACTGTAAGGGACTATATTTAGATCTGTAATTGCATATATTTTGGATTCATCTGTGGAATAGTTAAGAGCATAAAATGTTACTGTAATTCAGTCATGTCTTTCACAGTGACAGAAAGAACTAATTAGATCCATGCTCCTCTGTGATGGAGACCAGATTCCAGTTTTGGAACCCTGCTTGTGATTCACACAGAGACGGCAGGAACCCCCACATCTAGATGCCTGGCTGCACATGTGCTTCTAGACTAACCCTGTCATCGTCTTTATACATCTAGCTACGTCTAGGCAGTAAGAGATACTTGAATGTTGGGATTTATACTGCCCTCATCCCGCTTTCTGTCTCTGAGAGTGAGAGGAATGGTATCTTTAGCCAGGTGAAACCTGTGGGCTGCTATTAATATCATCTTGACTCAGTCCACCTTGTAGCCAGTTTATAAAGGCATGCTGATTCTGTTTGCCATGGAATACCTTTTTCCATCTTACATAAAGAAATGGTTTCAAGGACGTGTTTTATTAAGCACATCAATGTCAAGAATTAAAAAGTCTCAATCTGATCCCATGTGGACTAATTCTGTGCCATTTAGAAGAATCTGATAGATATGCTTTATGAAATGCTAAATTTTGTACTGGTATTGCTAGCTTTATGTGGCTGGTCTGTTGAAAGGAAGGGGTCTAAAAACAACTCGGCAGGAACTTTTAAAGCAAAGTTCATAAAGGACCAGACAAAGCTAGCTCCCATTAATGCATTGGAGTTTTTCATACCCTAAATCTCTTTAAACTGGCAACTTCTTTTTAGATAATAAAATTTAGATTTAGGATCATAACTTTTTGTGCTCAAAAATCTTAGTGAATGTAGTTGTAGTCTCCTTACAGCTTGCAGCAGGAAATCCAGCACGTGTTAGAGATTTTTGTTTCCCTTTTACTTCTAGTAAGTCATTGGTATTACAGGCTTTTTGTCCTTTCAGTTGCTGAAAAAGTATTCTCAAATAAGTACATGGCTAAAAGGCCACATTTTTCACTCCAAGTTCTGTTCAGCTACCTCTCAGTTTTTACAGTGAATTGACTGGGAGCAGTGCAAAGTTGCAGGTTATGTTTACAGACTGTGGAAAGAACAATTTTC